TAATAGATATAACAACAGTTTTAATAGATATAACAACAGTTTTAATAAATATAACAGTTTTAATAGATATAACAACAGTTTTAATAGATATAACAACAGTTTTAATAGATATAACAACAGTTTTAATAGATATAACAACAGTTTTAATAAATATAACAGTTTTAATAGATATAACAGTTTTAATAGATATAACAGTTTTTTTAATAAATACAACAACAGTTTTAATAAATATAACAGTTTTAATAAATATAACAGTTTTAATAGATATAACAGTTTTAATAGATATAACAGTTTTTTAATAGATACAACAACAGTTTTAATAAATATAGCAACAGTTTTAATTAATATAAAAGTTATAATAAACGTCAGAGAGCAGAGTGTTTTGTGCCGCTCGCCCTTCTTCAGCATGTAGGAGCAAAACTAATAAAATCCAGGCTCCAAAGAGACGTTAGTGTATTTACCAGTTTGGACTAACTGTCATGCAGATGCTGCATGCACAATGAATACAGCTGAGCCCTGCATCAGGGTTGCCAGATAAATTTGGAAATGTTTTATTTACCTCCTCCTTTTCTGTGCACATGTTCAACAAACACACACACCTCATCTTAGAATATCTTTACTCAGCACATATGACAGTTTAGGTCAAAATACTATAATTTTAAAGCCACAGTACTATAGCTCATCATTTCTTATCTGGCAACCTGACTGACATGGAAACTACAGCGTTTCTCGTGTAAACCTTCTCACTTTTTGTTTTGTTACCCCAATAAACATTGAAAAAACACAAATGTTTCCAGAGGTTGTTCTGTGGAGACGGTGCCTTTCTAGTAGGTAGATCACTTTGACTTGGTCATTTTAAAAGGAGCTTCCATGCTGAAAAGTGTGGGCACCCTTGCTTTAGAGGTTCTAACATTGAGGATGAAAAGTGAAGAGTTTCAGATTTGATTTATTGTCCATGTGCGACAGTGCACGGTTGATGTTTTCACACATTCAGTTTCTGAATTCCCCACACATCCTTCGTTGGGGACAGGTGAGGACAGCAGGACGGGCCAGTCCCCGTCCCCTCTTCGTCCTCAGTCTTTGTCACGTGGGCAGAGCGAGGTTTTTACATCGCCTCGTTAAAAACACAAAGATGTCATTGGAAGTGGTGTGGCCTTGAAGGCAGCAGATGTTGCTATAAAGTCTCTGCTGGACTTTTCTGCTTTAATGCTGCCGTCGCAGAACTCTGATCCAAACACAGAACCATAACAAATACCGGGTGTTGGGACTTGCTGCCGACACCAGTTCTGTCTGAGGGGTCAGAGGTCACGGCTATCATTCTCAACTCGTTGAAAATCCTCCAGATTCTTTTAAGTAGCAGAAATCTGCACTCCCCTGCCAATCTGTCTTTGAGAAGCTGTGCTTTTAATCAGTTTAATGATTTTCTTTCACATTTGCTGACAAACTGGAGGTCCTCTGTCCATCTTTGCTCTTCAAGGACTGAGAGTAATCACTGGAAGTACATCTACAACTGATTTACGTCTAGAGTCGACCCCATTCAAGATGCCCACTGGAACTTAATTCACCCTTATCAAAGACAACTGTAGCTGTACTCGGCCACTTTTACAGACTGAGCTCGATTTTGTTGTGGCATTATTCAAACTGGCTGACTCTTGAATTTATTTGTGTTTGTAGATCTCTTTGCGTGCATCCACCCCTAACACCAACACTGGCCTTTTTCTAATTATTAGACCTTTATTTATTCAGGTTAGTTCCCTCGAAGACTCCTTTACAACAGAGACCTGTTGCATACAACATACAGGCAGATGAGAAAAAGGGAACACGAGGCAGGCAGAGCTTCTGGTTGTGTATCCTCCAGGAGCAGTTTGAGATAAGTTGGCCTGTCCAAGGCCAGCGGGGAGGCAAAATTCAGATAAACGACAATTGTTTGGGCCGCCAGACTCTGTTTTCTGTCTGCCTTCACGTTCTGCTGGTACACTCGATGGTGAATCCAAACAGCCAGAATTAGTGGACTTTCCGCCCGGTCCGTGCTCGATTTAGCATTCGCCAAGATTGAATCCTTCATGCCGGCGAGTTCCAGGAGCCACAAGTGGCCTACGATTCTCAGAAATTGCGTCCAGCTTGCGGTTGGGCTCGTTAAGTAAATGAATTTGAGAGGTCGAAGCACAAATTAATTCTTCACATAAGGCTGGCTGCCGACGTCTTCCTAATTTGTCAATATCCAATGTATCCAGTTCCAAAAAAAGCAGAAACCCTGTTATCATAAATCCAATAATGTTCACATCTACATCCTCCATGGACGGAACAGATGGGCACACCATCTTCCACTCACTCCAGGCATCAATGACATACCCAGCTGCGTGGGTCCATTCAGGGCATGAGGGCTCTCCAGCACCCCGTCGTCTGATGGAAAAAAATAAATTATCAGTTGCGTTGAGGGACCAGCTGACCAAATCCATAATAATTTTCAATTCAGAAGATTTGTAAAGAGAGGCTCTGAGGTTGACGGGACAAGACGGCAGCACAAGTAGGAGGGAGGGGGGGGTAAGAGCGGCCGTCTTCGTCGAAGGCGAAAGAGAGAATGTCATAACGCCTCTCTCTTATTTCTTATTTTATTTGTCCCAAGGTGTTGCCATGATGATTAGCACCACAACGTTTGGGGTATACTTCTACTTGATACCCAAGCCTCCCAGCACCCCGTCACCACTGGACCTCCTGACTGCAGCCGGTGTAGAACCACACTCAGACCTGACCTGGCTGGCCCTGGCCAGCATGGCCATTTTCATCTCAGGTGAGTCACATGAACCTTCAGCTCCTCTCCGACATGTTTGATTATTATCAATTTTTCTATCGATACCTTGGTGTCTGGAAGGTTCAACAAATGGTGTTTTTTAGGAACTGGCCCATGTTCCCTGTAGACGGAATGGTTTTACTGGCTGTTTGTCGTGTTCAGGTTTTGCCATTGGTTGGGGTCCGATCCCGTGGCTCATCATGTCGGAGGTTATCCCCATCCGAGTGAGGGGGTTCGCCGGCGCAGCTGTGGTCATCAGCAACTGGGGCATGGCGTTCATCATCACCAAAACTTTCCAGAACATGATGGTGAGCGCTCGTTGGAAAACCACATAAAGATTCAGACTTTTTTTTTTTTTTAATCAATATTTTCTTAATTTTTTAAGCTTTTCTCATCTCTGTTTTGTTTTGCTAATAAATGCGCTCAAAAAGAAAAATTCTGCTTCCCAGCACCAAAGATTTGGTTCTTTTGGTGACCTGTCGAACACGGAACAAGACGATGGCTACATTAGAATGTGCTCAAAAATCTGATTTATGATTAATGACGTTATGTTGCTTGATTGGCTTGTTTCAGTTCTATTCATTTAGTTTTAATTCTTGCTTCATAATCAGTCGTGGATTATAACATTCTGCTGGCGTGCCACTTTTTTGTGTTTAGACTAAATAAATCACCACACAGTAAATTTATAATGAACTGGAGAAAATACATTTGCTGTGAGAATGCTTGGTGCTGAACGACTGCTGAAATTTGCTGAAGAGGCTAAAACTAAATTATTTAAGCTAAAATGTGCAAAACACTAGCTAAATTCCAAAGTAACAAAGTTGAAAAATGGCAACTAAACATTAGAAGTAGCAAAAGGTTTTCTAAAAGCTAACTGTAGCAAAAGGCTAGCTAAAAGCAACAAATTATCTAAAGTTAAAAGTAGCAGAACAGTAGCTATAAGCTAAAAGTAACATAAGAAGTCATAATACGCTAAAGAATCCAAAACCGAGTTAAGCTAAAAAAAGGAAAACATCAAATTAGCTACCAGTAAATACTAAAAAGAGCACAATACTAACTACAAGCTAAAAGGAAGAAAGACTTCTTAAACAAAAGTAGCAAAAGACCAACTAGAAGCTTAAAGTAGCAAAATGCTAGTGAAGAGCTAAAATAGCAAAAGGCAAGCTCATGGCAATAAAAGGCTAGTTAAAGCTCAAACTAGCAAAATGGTAGTTTATAACTAGCTTTTAGCTAGTCTTTAGCTACTTTTAAACTAACAAAAGGCTAGCTAATAGAACAAATGGATCAAAACAATAGTTAAAAACTGAAAGTGGCTAAGTTTGACAAAAATGGAGCATATATGTTGAAACAACGTTCAAAGAAAACGATGTTTATGAAGGAATTGAAAAGATCTAAATCAATTTTTGGGTAATTATTTTTTGTAACTAAAGTTAAATATTTTGAAAAATATAAATTACAATGATCATAATACCATCTTCTGAATGATCTGAACTTTTTGATATGTGAAAGGCCAAAATAGCACAAAGCATATAGAAGTAGTTAAGGGAAGTGGTGGCGCAGAGGTTAGAGAAGGCGAGTCTGTGATTAGAAGGTCGCCAGTTCGAGTCCCTGGACCGATGATACCAAAATGTGGGTGGGAAAGGTGAAACACCCACACCTGCCTCCACACTCATTTGCCCCACTCTGGACCCTTGAGCAAGGCACTTAACTCCCACCATCTGCTTCCCCGGGCACCCTCCGCTCCACACAGAGGGCTGTGGTGTCAGGAAGGACATCCGGTGTAAAAACAACCACTAAGTCTTTGTGCAAGTTAGTTCACTGTGACGACCCCTGAAGAAGAGAGCAGCCGAAAGAAGTTAAATTTTAGAAAGAAGACAATGTGCCGAGTCAGAATTCACTCAAATAATTCTTGCACTTCCATTTAGTTTTTGTTGCCTCATTCTTGTCTTGTCTTTTCTTCCAGGATAGTCTAACCAGCGCGGGAACCTTCTGGCTCTTCTCCTGCATGTGCGCCCTCAACATCGTCTTCACAATATTCTTCATCCCAGAAACCAAAGGCAAGACTCTGGAGCAGATCGAGGCCATTTTCAAAGGCACGTCGGGTCCATGAAGTCTCCACATGTTGGACAAACTCAAAGACCTCATTTATATATATATTTGTAAAACTGACTGTTCCTGTGGGGACGCTCTGCGGGCATTGTAAAAACCTACTGAAATCACATGAAGCTGATTAAAAACTTTCATAAAGGTCATTTTGTTCAAACCTGTTCATTTAAACAAGCTGTGCCATTGAGCTGCGCTGCTGAACTCCGTGACTCTTTGGTGCCCCCTGTAGGTCGCTTCATGTGTTGCAGCACAAGGTTCTGAGCGGGTTGAACATTTTATTCAGATGCGGAGTTTGACAGTTTGAATTTAAGAACCAACTTTAGAGTAAAGTAGTTTTTATTCTAGTTTTTAATGTATTTCTACCCAGAGGTCTCTGCTCTTTCATGGAAGCCTCAACTGAGGACAAGAGAGCAAAACTTTTACCGTTGAAACAGTTTGTCTCGATCATCTCACATCAGCCGACAAAGTTAATTAATTAATTGGTTGAGTGCTTTTACTTCATGTAAAATTATTTTATTTTTATTTTGAAATCAGCTTCCACAAGGCGAAACAAGAAGTTGGAGTTTTTTTGTTTTTAAAAAAAGATGGTTGGTGTTTTTTTACTTGACAATATCGTTTGTTGCTTCTCAAACTGACCGTTAAGACTTTTCACATTTACAGAAAAAGTCTAAAAGTATTTGAGAGGTGAATGCAACATGAAATGATGGAGCTGCTGTTTACAACATTTTAAACACATTTTAACCACAACAAAAAAGGCGAACTGAGGCATTGTAACATCGTCCAGATGTGAACTGTAACGAGAACGGGAGTCTTTGATTGTGTTTTCCAGGATTTATTTTATTTTCCTAAAACAAAAATGGTTGGGGTATTCATCTCGTGCACAAATTACATTATTGATATTTTTTGTGGCATTATGTCTTTTATTTTGTTAACTCTGGTGTTTTTTTCTTTTGAAATTACTGAAATCCTTGTCTGTTTTGGTATTTCATTTAAAATTTAATTCTAGAGTCAGCGTGAAAATTAATTTCCCTCCAGGTTTTTTCCCTTTGACACTGATGTCTCATTGAATTAATAAAATCTGACATTTGTTGAACAACTTCTGCAACATTAATGATTCAGCCGCAATAAATCAACTTTCATGAAAGTGAAAATAATACAAAATCAAAATCGAGCTTCAGAAATAAATTTAATTTTCCAACTCCTTTATTTCTTTGTCCAGCTTTGAATTATTTTTGAGGCTCTGCCACATGGCGTTTTTTTTTTGTTTGTTTTGTTTGTGCATGTGCATATTTAACCTTAATGTTTGTTTTTGTTGATTTGTGTGCATATCTGGGTTGGGACTAGACATTAAAACTTAATTGCCTCTTGGGGATATTTGAACGGAACTCATTTATTTAAAGATCAGCTGTTTTTCTCTAATTTTGACTGCAAATATAAGCTGTTTCTAAGTGAGAAGTACGATTTAGTATTGTTTTGATGATATATTACATTACCTAAAATATATATTTGAAATCAAGTTGAAGTTTGTCCAAAGCATCACATTTGAGGCTTGATATAAATAAAACGGAAGGATATAAAATTGTTAATAGTACAGTAATAAAAATTAAAAAGCTTTATTATAAATACTGTTAAAATTTTAACCACCAAAAACTTTTCTTTAGTTCTTGCTTTTTTTTTTTCCAACACAGAATATATTTTATTTTAGACACATTTTAAAGACATTTAATTTTTGTCGCCCTCTAGTGACCGTAGAGGAAACCTTCAAAATAAAAATGACACTTGACTTTCAGATCATTTTTCTGTAGGAGAATAAAGGTATATTCCGCTTTGATACTTTTGAAACACATTGAAGTGTTATTATCTATGCTAAAATTATGTAATTCGCAATCTTGTGATAAGTTGACGGTCTTCATTTTTCCTTTTAATTTGATAAGTCGGAGATCTGCAGGCGCTTCCTGTGCGCGGTCAAAAACAACGGAAGTACTCCGGAAGTGCCTGGTGTCACATAGTTTACAGTCCGGGGCAGCCTGTCAGTGTTGCTTCCCGCTGCTCGGCTCGGAGATGCTGCCCGCTGCTGCAGAGATGGAGTTCAAAGACAAAAACGGCAAAGTGTCGGACAGAGTTTGAGACAAAGGGAGGGGACTCGGCGTAAGTTCTTTAAGTGAACTGACCGCCCTGTGGGTTATTTTTGATTATTTAAGACGAGAAGAAACCGAAATAAACTCGGAGCGAAGATGAAGCTGCTGAAGCCGAGCTGGGTGAGCCACAACGGTAAGCTTGTGCAGGAATCTGTTGGACCAAGTTGGGCTTTTGTTGTCAGAGGGGGGGTGACTTTAAAGAGGCATGATGGTGCTCGACACTTGTTTGTCTCACATGTTGCAAACTAATTTCAACAACAGAGCAACAAGATGCGATGTTTTTGTCCTAGTACAATGAATTCCCCTGTGCTCCAATTTATGTTTACATTTGCTAACACGCAGCTAGCTAGTTAGCCCCCAGGCTAGCTCGGATGCTCTGACTTTAGCTAACTTAAAGTGACCCGTGTCCGAGATGCCATCTGAAACTGACATCGTGCTCAAAATATTTGACGCCCCGAGCGACATTTTAGCCGAAACTTTGCGTGTCGAGGCCAATCAGACAAGAAGCTGAAATGTGTCAGTTGGTGAGACCTCCGAGCTGCTGCTGTCACTTCGGAAAGTTAACCGTCGAGGCAAACGGCCTGAACGTGTGCGGTGGCCCGTGGTAATTATAGGTTTATTAGAGAACAGATCAGTGACTACATGTCAGTGTTTGGGAAGGATCCTGCTCAGTTTAACTAAACGCATTGACATTTACGATTAGTTCAGAACCTGCAATCCGCAGAAATGTTGGCGTTCACTCCATATTTAAACAACCACAGAGCAACGGAAAAGTTGGGACGTTGCATAGAAACGTAGATAAAAAAATAAAAAAAAACTGGGATGTGATTTGCGACGCTCATAAACCCATATGGGGAACACGGTAAAGATGTCGGATGTGGAAACTAATAAATTGTGCAGTTTCTTGGGAAAAAAAAAAAAAAAAGTAAAAATTTGGAATTTTATGGCAACACGTTTAAAAAAAAAAAAAAGAAAGTTGTTTGGGATCCATGATTCCCTGTGAAGCCCCCTGTCTTCTTTCAACAACAGTCTGCACACCTCTGTGAGCTGAGACCAGCGGCTGCAGTTTTTCAGGGGGGGGGGTGACCCATTCTTGTCTGATGGAGGATTCTTGCTGTTCAACAATCCTGGGTTTGCTTTGTCGTTTGGGAACATGTTGTTCTAAATCCCGTGTGTTCTGTTCTAGATTGATGGGGCCTTTTCAGATGTGTACACAGCCCATACCAGAGGCACTAATGTACCCCTATACCATAAGAGAGGCAGTCTTTTTAAATATGCACTGACAATGAGCTGGATGGTACCCCTTGTTTTTAGCACAGAGGGTGTGTTATCGGTGGTTTCAAACTACAGAACAGTTCTCCATCTTTGCCTCGGTTTATTTTAAATGAGCGTTGGTCCAGAGAAAAGTTCTTCTGTATGGTGTTCACCTGGACCCCAGAGTCCATGCTCAGTAATCCAGGTATAAAATCCAACAATGCTCAGTCAGGTCATCAGGACTTTTTATTTTATTTTTTTTATGAGACTGTTCGCCCTCCATCCAGAAGGCTTCATCAGTCTGAGGAAACACCAAACAAAATTGATTCTCCCCCATAAGCCTACTCCAGTTCACCTATGGCTTCTTCTTTGCCTGATAGAGCTTTGCCCAGCATTTGTGGACAGCCTGACAAACGGTGATGTCCAGAACCAGACCTGTTTTTAATGCAGTTACCTCTGAGGGCCCAAAGATAGCAGTCGTTCAATATTTACTTTCAGCCTCGCCCTTTGAACTCAGAGATTTCTCCAGATTTGTTTAAAGTTTTTGATATTATTAACTGTATATGATGGGATATTCAAAGACTGCCCAGTTTTCCAGTGAGGAACTTTATTCTGAAATTGTTTGTTTGTAGGCCCTGTTTTCACAGATTGGTGAACCTCTTCTTTACTTCTGAGATTTTCTAAAATTAACTTTTTATAGCCAATCTGTTTACTCAACTAATTTCTTGCGAAAAGCTTCTCAGGCTATTTCTTATTTGTACCACTTGCTTTTACAATTATTTTTTTGCTCCTGTCTTAACTTATTTGAGATGTGTTGCTGCCATCAAATTCAAAATGATCTTTTTCCCCCAAACGTGGCTCAATTTCTTACTTGTATCATTTGATATGTTTTCTTTCTTCTGTTGTGAATAAAATGTGGGTTTGTAGGTCATTGAAAATATTCAAACAAAGGTGTTACAAATATAAACATTTTATGTACGCCACTTGGGATTTTTGTATTGAACCTTTGCACACCGCCATGTTATTGGACATCTTTTTGATTTGTCTTAATAATCAGTAAAAGCTCATAAAAAGGCTTTTTATTTTATCTGCATTTAAACGGAAACCCGCTAAAGAATCCGTCCAGATGACCTCTTAACATTTTTGTGATTTATTTACCTGGATGAATTAATCAGGATATGTTTGATATCTAATAAAAAATAGTGATAACATATTTTTTATCTGTTTTTATGCAGAAACAGGAAAATATTTGCTCAGAATAATCACAGTCAGATAAAATACTTGCAGTGATGTGATGTAGCTGTAATTAGCAAATTGCTAACGGTCTTTAAAAGGTGACAAATAATTCAAAAGTCAGCTCCAGGTACAAAATGTTTTCCCTCAGCCTTAGCTCTTAACTTAACACCCCGACATGCCTAACTTGAATTTTGCGTCCGTGCACCCGGTCCACCCACTTGAATGGACCTAAACTGTGCACGACGGAGTGCAGCTTTAGAAAAAACACAAACGTGGAATAACCATAAACAATTACTGAATTATGAATAAATGTGTTTATATCTTTTTCTGCTGCTTGTGCTGATGTTGCATTGACATCACTCGTATTATGTTGCATATCTTATGATTATATACCAACAGACTTTTTCGTTTTATAGCTTTTATGATTCCTGATCCTTGCACCATTTTTGTTATGTTTTGCGTGCACACTTTTTTTTGTAAGATTTGCTAAATCATAAGACATAATGATACAACTGATGATACTGGCTGAGATTTTGGAGCATAAAAAGTGTTGTGGTGACAGAATGAAAAGGGAGTGAGGAAAATTGGGTTTATGGGAAATGATGTTGTAATTCTTTAACTATTTCTCAATTGAATTGTTTTTCTAAAATTGTTGCTGTGGTGCATCAAACCATAATTAAAGTTAGATGAATAAAACTAAAATGTGCATAAAGAGATAAAAACGTTGAGTCCTTTAATCTTAACGGATTTCACTAAAGCAGGTTTCTTTCTAAGAAATTCCTAAAAGGCATGCAGGGCGTGTTCACTTGAACGCAACACGCATGTGGACCAGGAGAGAAACCTGTTTCAGCTCAGTTGCGTGCTCCGACATAACTGTGGAAAATCACTGAAGACCGAGGAATTTTCCATAAGACCACCTAAATAAAACCTTTTTAAAAAACAGGAAACAAACAAGTGGATGAGATTCTTCTGTGATCAGAAAACACATCGTGTCTGCTGATAAATCTCTTGATTTATTCGACTGAAATCGATATTTGTTGACTTTTGTGTTGTTTCTCAGGCAAACCCATATTTTCGGTTGACATCCACCCAGATGGGACGAAATTTGCAACAGGTGGTCAAGGTAAGACGTGCAGCAGCGACGGCTGCCGTGGACCTGTAAGACGCTTGTTTGTTCACAGATTCAAGATTTCTTATATTGATGCCACAAAAAAAGGTCTCGTTGGAGCAGAGCATTAAGATAATTTAATAATAATTTGTTTTTAGGGGAGGATTCTGGGAAGGTGATGATCTGGAACATGGCTCCGGTCCTCAGAGAAGAAGATGAGAAGAATGAAAATATCCCCAAAATGCTCTGCCAGATGGACAATCACCTCGGTAACCAGCCCCGTCTGACCCGCCTTAATGATCCAGATGTTTGTTTGCTCTTTTTGGTACTCCTTATTTCTCTTATTGTAGAGTAAACTATATTCTTAAACATGGCAAAGATTTTTTTAAGCACATAAAGAGTTGTTAGATAATCTGGAGAGAGCCGAGGGGCTGTAAGATGGAGGGGCTCGTGATGGGATTGTTCTGCAAACGTAGCTGTTTGCTGCAGCAAATCAACACGTTCTCACAAAGAGCTTTTTGAGATTTGAAGTTTCTTTAAGTTTGGATCTCAGTATTTAATTTAGTATCAGAAGTACACAACTTGACAGTACAAAGTGAAAAGCGTAGGACTCGAATACAGCGTTTGATTTTTATCGACCTGTATTCACACAGTAGGTGAGATTCAACAATCCAACTTGTTTGTTTTTTTATGTTTGAACTAACTATATTTTGATAAAACCCGTTTGTGTCATAATGATGGATACAGATATAGATTAGTGAAAGGATGAGAGTTAAAACGGTGCAACAGGCTGATCGACTGCTGTACAAAATAGTAGAAATCAAACTGTGCAAACATTAATTTAAACTGTGAAACATGTGATTTTTAAAAACAATGCAAACACAATGAAATATACAATATTGATTTAAAATGTGATCTCAATATTTTGTCACCCCTCGCAAAAAAAAAAGACAAAACATAAAACGGGCAGAATTGATCACATTCCGAGGTGACAGATTTATTCGAATACTTATTTATTAACCTTTATTTATTTAACCAGGCAAATCCCACTGAGATCACAGATCTCTTTTCCAAGGGAGGCCTGAACGCAGCCTAACATGCATGTTTTTAGTCTGTGGGAGGAAACCGGAGTACCCGGAGAAAACCCACGCAAGCACGAGAAGAACATGCAAACTCCACGCAGAAAGACCCCAGGTCCAACCGGGGATCGAACCCAGGACCTTCTTCTACCAGTGTAAATTTGGACATTTTAATTCAAATTACAAACGATGAAGTTCACAGGCTGGAACTGACCTAAAATGACGTCTTGTAAAATCGTGAGAGGAGCAGGTTTAGGGACTTTCTCTATCGATCAGCCTCAAGCTGGGTCTGAGGTTAACTGCTCAAAGTAACACTTCTGTCTGGATTTATGTAACAGAGGGAAACACAGCTCACGCTGGAAATCAAAGGCTGATGATGGGAAGCTTTAGATGCATGCGCGTCTTCTGTCAGGACGCGTCTGCAGGTGTTCCATCAGAACATGGCGGCCTGCGCTCAGACGTCTTCACAGACTCATGAGTTAAACACAAACTGGGTCACTGGAAGGGTGATTGATTGTTTGTTTCTGCAGCCTGTGTGAACTGCGTGCGATGGTCCAATAATGGGCTGTACCTGGCCTCGGGGGGAGACGACAAGCTCGTCATGGTGTGGAAGAGAGCGGCGTACGTACACACACATTCCAACGTGAACCGTTTGGAAAGTTTTATGTTTTCGATATTATTTACTTCTAATCGCAGTACGTATCTGCAACTAAAGTAAACTGTATTCATCGGTCACTTTCTGCTCTTTGCATGTTTCTTTCCTGTAGCTTGATCGGGCCGAGCACCGTGTTCGGCTCGAGCAACAAACTGGCCAACGTGGAGCAGTGGAGGTGTGTCACAGTCCTGAGGAACCACACCGGAGGTACGACGCCATGCCCTGAAATTCTTTCTCGTCAACGACTGTAATTTCATGTGTCGCTGCCACCGGTTTGACTGCGTTCTCCTGCAGTCCTTCAGGTTTCTGCTTTTTTTTCATTTTTTTTTCACAGATGTGATGGACGTGGCGTGGTCGCCTCATGACGTGTGGCTGGCCTCCTGCAGCGTGGACAACACCATCGTCATCTGGAACGCACGCAAATTCCCAGGTAGGAAAACCAGAAACCAGAGCGACTCAGCTGAAAACGAAACTGTTGCATAATATGACCAGACTGAGCTGTTAGCAAAATATCTTTTAAACCCTTGGACAGGCAACATTGGAAGTTCATCTATAACAATTTTTTAATTCAACCTGATTTAAGATGGCTGCCACAGCTAATGAACGTTAGCAATCACAAAAATGACTGACACAGCCAGTTTGACAGACTGAGCTGAAATGTGCCGTGGTAGTCGCAGAGAGTCGCCCTCAGTGCAAACACCGAGGGTTTAAATATTTGACCTGCATTCTTTCTTCGTTCATGTTTTATGTCTTTAACGGGAAAATGGAGCAAGAGGAAAAGTTTTGACCGGGTACTTAGATCTTTAACGAAACAGTTCAGGAATTTTCTGAAGTAAAAAGAGATTTTTACATTTGTCTTCAGCAAATAGTGTAGTGCTGAATTCTACACAAACTTGATGCTACATTTTATATATTTTTTTAATTCTTATTGAACAGATGTAAAACTAAAGGTTCTCGTCATTTTATTTATTTAGACTTGTTGACCAAATTTGCCCCTTTCTTTTATTTTTTTTTCTTATTGAAAAGTTTAGACCTGGAATGCAGGACTAAATGTGTATTAAAATAAATAGATTAATTTGACAAATCATAAAATATCTTTGCTATATACTATCTAAATGGGGAAAAAAAACCTCTGAATATTACTGCAGTTTTTCCATACTAACTTTTATATTTTTTGGTATAATATCATAATGGTCTTTATAAAATATTTATATTTACTGGTATAATTTAAAAAAGTTCTTCCCATATTTAAGAAGCTGGAGCTTTTTTTTATTTTTCAATCTATTTATTTATAGAGCCCTTTCCAACAGCCAAAAGGTGCACAAAGGGCTTCACAATACAAAAGTTAAAAACGTGCCAGAGAGCCACACGGCCTGCCTGAATTAAAAGATTTTAAGGTTAGATTTAAAAAGATCAGTGATGAAGTGCAAATCCTGAGGTCGTTTGTTCCACAGTCTGGATGCAACGACTGAAAAGGCCCAGTCACCCCAACGTTTGTATTTGGACCTCGGGACAAAAAGTAAAAAATCTGTTTGTTGATCTTAATGTTCTCTTGCACTCATAATAAGCTAAATAAGACGGGGCGAGACCATTAAGAACTTTAAAAGTGGATTAAAATTTTTTTTAAATCAACTCAAAAATGGACTGGAAGCCAGTGGAGAGAAATTAAAACGAGGGTGATGTGCTCACATCTGGACGTGTAGGTTAAAAGTCAGGCCGCAGCATATTGGACCAGTTGAAGACGTCTGATGGAGGACTGGGAGATACCTACATACAGAACATTGCAGTAGTCAAACCTTGAGCTGAGAAAAGCATAAATGACCTTTTCCAGGTCTGGACGATTTAAAAAAGGCTTGACCTTGGTTAAAAGACACAACATAAAAGCTGACCTTGACTACAGAGGCTATGTTTGTTAAACTTCAAATCTTTAAAGGTCACCTCCAAGTTTTTAACTCTGTGTCTAAACTTGGATGTCAAAGCATCAAAGTTACAGGAACATCATCACCAAAGAATATATACACCGTCTTTCCCTCATTTCAAAACAGAAAAATTTGGTGAAGCCACCGTTTAATGTCAGTAATACAGACAGTAAAAGAAGTGTGAAGGTGAGTACCTTTAGGCTTGGTAGGCAAAAATAAAATAAAATTGTGAATTGTCTGCATAACTGTGAAAAGAAAAGTGATGTTTGGCTATAACTGATCCAAGTAACATCCTAAAGAGAAAAAAGAAGAGGACTGAGAATAGAGCCCTGCAGCACACCACAAAAAAGAAGAGCAGTTGAAGAAGACAAAGTACTCATCGTGACAGAAAGTTCTATTGGTCAAGTAGGAGGTGAGCCACTTGAGAGCTGAACCAGATCTACCAACGTAATGTTGATGATGAGAGGACAGCAGGTCCACTGTGTCAAAAACAGCTGTAAGGTCCAGCAGCAGCTGGACACTTTGTGTCCATGGACATGACAATGTCATTATGGACCGTTTACAGGGCTGATTCAGCACCATGACAAGCTCTATGTTTTTCTGAGATGGTTGTAACTGCATTAAAACAAGTTTTTCTAAGACTTTAGCTCTAAAAGGCACATGAGAGGTCGAAATTTTGATCAAATCCGTGGGTCAACGTGAGTTTTTTTTTTTAGAAGGGGCCTAACCACAGTATGTTTAACAGCAGCAGGGACAGTTCCTAAAATAAGGCAAGGGTTTAAAAAGTTAAGACACAAAAACCTACAGTATAAAAAAAAAACTCTTTCAAGAACTTGGAAGGAAGAAAATCTTGAGTTTGCCTCTAAAAAGGACTTTGAATCAGTAGTAGTATAATGATCAATTAAACCTTCAGCTTTTTGTACCGTCACATCTGTCATGGTCCCATTGTCTCCTCAGAGATGGTCACGTGCCTGCGAGGACACACGGGGCTGGTTAAAGGCCTGACTTGGGATCCAGTAGGGAAATACATCGCCTCCCAGGCCGATGACCACAGTCTCAAAGTGTGGAGGACTGTGGACTGGCAGATGGATGCCAACATCACCAAACCTTTCTCAGAGGTACAGATGCTGTTGGAACATCTGTTACATCAGTCTTGTCTCTTGTTTCCTTCAGTCGACTAAATTTAGGTTTGAATAATTGTTTTTTTTTCTTCAGTGTGGCGGAACGACCCACGTCCTGCGTCTGTCCTGGTCTCCAGACGGTCAGTATCTGGTGTCGGCTCACGCCATGAACAACTCCGGCCCCACCGCTCAGATCGTGGAGAGAGACGGCTGGAAGACGAACATGGACTTTGTGGGCCACCGTAAAGCCGTCACGGTGGTGGTAAGGAGCTTGTCCAGCCGTTTAGTGTGTTTTTCACTATGAGCAGTAGCAACGTTCTCACTGATCCGGGGTCTGTGTTTGCAGAAATTCAATCCAAAGATCTTTAAGAAGAAGCAGAAGAACGGCAGCTCTCCGAAGCCCGGCTGTCCGTACTGCTGCTGCGCTGTTGGCAGCAAAGACCGGTCGCTCTCCGTCTGGGTCAGTTCACAGAGAACCGTTTCCAGATGTGTCGAAGATGATTCAAACTCAGCATCAGTGTTAGCTGCACCCAGTCCTCTGGAAAGTTGCAGCGATTTTTTTTGTATCGTGTTAGCCGACCATGTTGATTCAGCATCTTTGGGCTTTCACAGACCTGATTGCAGTTAACGTTATTTCAATGCTTTGAATGTTTTAAGACTCACTTTCATTTTGCGTCTCTGATGGTTTCACAGCCACTTTCATCAGCTGTTCATAGCATCCAAACATTTAAAGTCTCTCTTCTCCTCAGCTCACCTCACTGAAGCGTCCTCTGGTGGTCATACATGATCTGTTTGACAAATCCATTATGGACATTTCCTGGTGAGTTTACAACCTTTGGGCGGCTCTAAACATCAAGTGAAACTCACATTAACACAATAATAATAATATTAATATTATTTACTATCGCAGTCTGTGTATAAAATATTTGGACACTGCTGAAAATGTATGCCAGTTCTTGGAGTTTGTTACAAAACTACCATTAATAAGTGTGTGTGTGTCCGTGTGTGTGTTAGGACTCTGACAGGTCTTGGGATGTTGGTGTGTTCGATGGACGGGACTGTGGCCTACCTGGACTTTTCCTTGGATGAACTAGGAGACCCTCTGAACGAGGAAGAGAAGGTGAAACATATCACAGATTATTTAATCCACAATGTTGAAGTTTTAACTCGTACAATCTTTTTAGTTTCGTTTCTGTGGAATGATAAATTAGTTTTACAACAAAATATTGGACCAAAAGTAAACTATTTATCATATTTAAGCCATTTGCTCTGGGGTAGATGAAAGAGCTTTTTAAAAATGTTGCATCGATGCAGCCTGACTGAAACTCGCTCGTTTCATTGTGTTGATATGAGAGATGTTTAAAAAAAATCTCCTCGAACCCTCAGTTTGTACACAGTTCTGTCTGGGTATTTGTTGCAACAAAAACCTGTTTTTATTTTACTAAATCTGAAAACATAAAGTTATATCTTGGTATTTTAAAGTTGAGCAACGATCAAAGACGTTGACGTGTTTCTGGGTAACGCCGCAAAGGTCAAATAAGAAATCGCCACTCGGGTTTGTTTAAATGTGATCCATAACATCAAACTGAGGATTACGCAGCGAGGTGCTGTAGTGAGATACTGTTGGACCAATTTGCAATAATTGAATTTTCTCTAAATGTGATTTATAAATACCTTATCAAGGTTCAAAGGGACTTTATTGTCATTCGCATCACATGTGGTGCATGAGGGGGAACAAAATTACAGTTACACCCAAAAATAGCAAAAATATCAACTATAAAAAAGAAACAGTATACAAGGATCTAAGAAATGCACTAAACAATAATAATGTGGTGTATTAAACAGCAGCCTGAACATGAGTCTGTTGTGAGCAGATGGGTATGAATACAGCAGCTTATGGGTAAGAAATCTATGGATCGTTTGAATAAAATATCTACCGGTAAAATATCCTAAATAACATGTTGAAGTTCTTTTCTGAACAGGACCAACAACCAACTAGGATTTTGAGCAGAAAAGCCCAAATTTTTGTTTTTGCTACTTTTTGTGCATGTTAGCGAAGCAACGTTCAATATCAGCTGGAAATTCCAGATGATGTCAAGAAATCCTTGTTAGAAAACACAAAGAAAAACAGGATTCAAAACGATTTTTCGGGTGTTCTGGTTAGTAAAACAAATCTGTGGAGCCTCTCGTGATGTCAGAATGATGTTGTTATAGAAAAGTAGCTTAAATACTCAGGAATCTAAAATTTAATATTTCAAGAGGATCACAAACTTTTGCCAGAAGCAGAATCTTGTGGATCCAGATGAGCAGCCTGGAATCACCTGTCTTAAAAGCAACATTTTACATTTACATCATAAATAATTGGAAAAAAAACATAGATGCATCTTGTTGCCAATCTTGTTTGGATTAGGATTAAAACCAATTTTTGGGGAGAAATACAAAAACAAATTTTTATGTCTTATTCTGTGATTTAAATGTAGCCACAATTAAAGGGCCTTTTTTTTTTCTACTCTAAATTATGACGTATTTAAAAAAAAGTTTCTCGGCAGTTCCAAAAGTTAAAGTAACAAATAATAAGTAACAAAACACCCTGTATTTATTTATTTATTTGACTTATTTACTTTACTTTTGTTACTTTTAAAACTAGCTTTTAACAACATTGTGAAATAATAATCTTCATTTCTTATGTTGTTTTTGTGGAGTAATTTTAGCTCCTTTTTAAATTCAGCGTTTCATGTTAAATCCATATCAGCTCAGTGATGTTTACCATCATGTTTGTGTTTATTATTATTGTCTTTCTGCTTTTCGGACTGTACTTTTGTCTGCATTCGTTTATTTTCTCCATCCTTCCTTGAACCTGACTCAAACCTCTCTCTCCCTGCGTCGTACAGAACACCATCCATCAGAACATGTACGGTAAAAGCCTGGCTATAACCAACACCGAGGCTCAGCTGTCCACCACCATCATCGAGAACCCCGAGATGCTCAAGTACCAACAGCAGCGACAGAACTCTGCTCAGGCCAACATGGCAGTGGCCAGCGCTGGACCAGAATCCTCCGCTCCCAAAGTCAACAGCGTGATGAACGGAGAGTCTCTGGAGGACATCAGGAAGGTAAAACTCCCAGCATGCACCACAGGCCACCAAGAGCTGGGCAGAATGCTCACCCAGTGTGTTTGCATCAAAACTCATACTTATATAAACCTCTTTTTAAATGGTTTATTAACAGGGGTGTCATTTAGAAACTTCTCTTCAAGGTCTAAAAAAGTTAAATCTGGTCCTCCAGAAAATCTAACTTTTTTAGATTTTTCTACCTGGATTATTGAGCATGCATCAGGATATTCTCTTCAAGGTTTTTAGACTTTTGAGTCAACTTTTAATTTTTATGCTGTAATGGCTGATTTATTAGTGGTTTTAGTGGGACAGACTAAATAAAACTAACAAAACTATTACTGTATTTTTCGGACTATAAGGCACTTAAAATCTTTTTAATTTTCTCAATAATCAACAGTGAGCCTTATAATTCAGTGCGTCTTATGTATTAATTCTGGTTGCGCTTAGTGACCTGGAACTGATTTTATGTGGTACACGGCGCTCAAAAATCTGTCCAAATGAACTTATTTCGCTGAACGCGCCTCATAATCTGAAAAATACGGTAAACAAAAGCCTGTTTAAACTGACGTCAGTAATGTTGTAGATGCACATTTTTTTGCTACTTGGACCTGAAGTTTGTATTTTGTAAACCGTTTAAATTAAGCGTCTGTCTTTGGAGCTGAATTTATTTATGTTTTACTTCTCCGGTGTTTCCAGAACCTTTTAAAGAAGCAGGTGGAGACGAGAACAGCGGACGGAAGAAGACGCATCACGCCCCTCTGTATCGCTCAGCTGGACACGGGGTAGGAAAAGCCGCACCGCCTGCTGTTCAGCAGGACCAATACTTCATCTGTACCGTAAAAACCTTAAAGATGGTGTTTAAAGAGTAACGGTTCGTGTTGGTTTTCACCATAAATGTTCCAAATACGAGGCTCAACAAACGGTTAGCTCCAACAGTTAATGCCAACGTTTTAAGCTAATGTGCTCCGAGTATTTGTTGAGGGCGATATTCAGCTACTTCCAGATCAAATTTTAGCACATCTGTAAAATTTGCTGAGTATTAACCATTTTTGTGTTTTCGAAGATCAGTTAGCTAAGGTAGCCATCTTGAATTGTGTTGAGTCCAAAGATGTGCATCGATTGAAAACTTCCTGAAAGTTTTATTAAAGTTCAATGATTCTTGATGTTTTGGTAAAAGTACAGACAAACCTTTACCTTCAGCCACGTGTGATAATAACGAACATTAGAAGCAGAGCTACAAGATCCATCGTTGAGGCTCCTTTCTTTCTTGTCCTGTTTCCTGCAGGGATTTCTCACCAGCTCTGTTCAACAGTGTTCCTATTCTGCCCTCGGGCTCCTCAATGTCCAACCAGCTCACCCCCCAGCTGAACTCTGACTCCAGCCCGGGACAGCCTTCTTCTCTGGGTCTCAGGCCCAACCAGGACGGCGTGCTCACTTCACCTCCTGCCAGCAGCGCCAACAAAGGCCTGGAGGACAACAACGAAGGGTACGAGGACGGCTCAGGGGACAACCTTACACTCTGTTAACGTTTTTTTTTTTGGTCTTTCTTCTGTCGTCTCTTCACTTACGACTTGAACGTTTGGTTTCAGTGTGAAGTCCAGTCTGCTGCTCACATCTTCATCCAAGATCGAGCCAATGAAGGCCCTGGACTCGCGCTTCACAGAGAGATCGAAGGCCACCCCAGGGGTCACATCGGCCATCGCCTCCACTGCCGGACTCACACCTCTGGACAGGTGACCGACTCGGTGGAGCAGGAAACAAAAGTGTGAAGAAAAACTCATCTTTTTCTTTTCTGTTCATGGAGCAGGCCAAAGGACGTCGTCTCTGCCCAGAAAGACGCCAAAACCAAAGAAGATACGAGCAGCGACAGCGAGGACAAAATGGCCGCCATCAACAAAAATCTGGTGTTCGGGAAGAGGAAACCGGAGCTGCTGATGGACGGAGGAGAAGTGGTGGAGAAGAGGAAGAAGGGCCGGCCGAGGAAAGACAAGATGGCCGCTCCCATCCCTCAACCCTTCACTCAGGTAAAGAGAAGAAGGTTTTATTTATCTGGTTTATCTCTGAATACGCAGCGATGCATTTAGTGAGAGTGCTGAGTCATTGTTCGCTCTCTGCCTCAGCGTATTATTTATGTTTGTAGGTTTTAGCTACTGTTCTTCTGGACTTTTACTTTATTGGCTTCTAGCCAACCTTTTGCTACGGTTTGCTTTTAGTTAACATTCTGGTACTTGTAACTATCTTTTTTGGTACTTTATCTTTTTAGTACTTTTAACTAGCCTTTTGTTGTTTACAACTAGCTTTTTAGTACTTGTAGCTAGCATTTTGCTGCTTTAACCAAACTTTTTGTATTTTTGGATTTTAACTAGTGTTCTACTTTTTAGTTTTACCAAGTTTCAGCTGCTTCAGCAAATTTCAGCAGTCGTTCAGCTCTCGGCTTCACTTTTTTTTTTTTTTTTTTTCTTTTTTTTTTACAGAAACGTAAATTTCTTTAGTTTCCTATAGGGATGATGCACAATATTGGATTTTTGGCCGATACCGATATTTTTAATATCCTTTCCTTTGTCAGAACATGTCCCTCTTATTTAGGCTTATTTGCTACAACAACTGTGCAACAGCTGTTAGAGCTGGTGACATCTATATTTTTTTAATTTACCCTTTATTTATCCAGGTTAGTCTCATTGAGCCACGGGAACTCATTTTCAAGAGAGACCTGTTTTAGGGAGCACGTGGGGGTTAAGGGCCTCGCTCAGGGGTCCAGAGTGGGGCGAATGAGGGTGGGGGCAGGTGTGGGTGCTTCACCTACCCCACCCACATTTTTGATGTTGGTACCGGGGCTTGAACTGACGATCTTCCTATCACAGGCTCACTTTCTCTAACCTCTGTGCCACCGCTCCCCCATATATTCAGTAACAGCCATATGACTTAAATATCACTTTAACTTATATTAAATGAAAAGTGTTAAATGTTATTTATTAGCATTAGTCACCTGCGACGCTGTCTCACTTGTGGAGGCTTGTTCCAGGTTCAGCTGCAGTGATGGATCCTCTGCACTCCTGTGCATGAAGGACACACTTTTTAAGTTCAAAGTTTTTGTCTATTTTTTTGTGCCGTAAGACTAATCATGCTAACGGGGCTAACACGACGTCCAAATGTCTGTGGTAAAACTCACCCAAGTGCTATCGGCTATTAGCTTCTCAATGACGTCGAAAATGACGGCTTGTAACTCGGGTAAGGCTACGTCGGAAAACTATTTCAGACTGGGGACGATGTAGCTCAACATAGTCCACAAATCTTCGGAATCCAACATCCTCGACGGAAAAAAAAACCTTCCACACCATCAACATTTTGACTTCTTCCTCTCCGCCGTGATCAGATCAGGTAGGCGCGTGTGACGTCATCACGTTGTGCTGCTGCTGCAGGCGTCCTCGTCACTGGGTTGTCGAACAAAAACAGCGTCTTTTATATCGGTGAGTTATTTTGATGGAATGGCCGATGTCCGATATTTAACTTTAACGCTAATATCGTCCGATACGATACCATGCCGATAATATCGTGCATCCCTGGTTTCTTTATGTTCTTTGTTCATTTTTTGTCTTTTCAAAGAGTCAAAAGTCGTTTTTTCCTCTTTGTTTTTGGAATGGATGAAATGATCCACAGAGTTTCAGTAACTGAGTGTCTGGTCTTCTCGTCAGATAATTTCTCCGCCCGAGCGGGAGCCCAGCAGGGTGGCAGCTCCTCCTCCAGCTCCTGCAGCCGTTTTAAAGCTGCCAACTCCAAGTACACAAAAGTCCTTCAGCCTGCAGGTAACACGCCGTCACCACCGCTCTGCTGTCCTTACTGAAACATTTAAAGGGTTCGTCCGTTTATGGGTATTTTTCTTAGAAACTGCTCTCATGAATAGTTTTTCAAGTCTCCCGTTGCAATTTACCTTTTTCAGACAAATGCAGTGTACGCACAACAGACTTTTAGACATTTCTATTTTAGTTTGAATCTCACCGTCAAGAATTTATATGTTCATAGGTGTTTCTGCATTTGTGCAAATGTGCAGGTGAGCGTGGAGCCGTCCGTGATCCTGGATGTGGAGAATGAGGTTTCTGCGGTTGCAGGTTCTAAGCTCAGCCAGCTGCGATGCTCGAGAGACGGACGGGACTGGAACACCCTGCTGCCCAGCTCGGTCGTCATCGCTGCAGGGAGCAGGTAAGAGCCATAACATGCTAACGTACCGTTATCCTTTCCACCAAAATAACACATTTATGGTAAATATCGTCTTTACCTAATTAACATCCCACATTGAGTCGTCTGTCCCTACTGCCATTTTGCATTTTGGAGGAAAAAAAAGTATTAAATTTATTTAGGTTTAGTGTTCTTCATTTTACTTTATTACTTTGCTTTTAAAAACGATTATCTATTTTTAATATTTTATGACAGACATGGTTCGTGCGTTTTTAATTTGAGGTAATCTTTCTGTTCATGTAAAAGGCTCTTATTGTAAAATAAGAAATTAAGTGAAATGTTGAAGTTGTTGCTGCTGGTCGTTGGATGAGGATGAGACGGTGTGGAAACATCTGAATCTATTTCTTCTCCCTCAGCGACGTCCTCGCAGTCGCCTGTGAGGACCGGATGTTGTCGGTGTTCTCCTGCTGTGGGAGGCGGCTCCTCCCCGCCATCCAGCTGGCCACGCCTGTCTCCGCCCTGCATTGCTCCGCCCACTTTGTCATGGTTCTGACTGCCGGAGCGGCCCTGTTTGTTTGGTTAGTTCGAAATTATCTTTTTTTTTCTTCATGGAGACTAAATAACAGAATTATATTATAAGAAAAGTAACACATTAATTGACGTGTTTTTTCGTAACCAAATCGTAAATATTTTTGTGATTTATTGCAGGGATGTTCATAAACAGAAAGCTTTGGTGAAGAACGAGTCGCTACTGACCATTTTATCTGGTGAGACACCGCGCAGCTGCACACGGTCCCATAATCTGAAAGAAACACTGAATACGCTTCATTTCCTTTAGTCTCTTTTCCGTTTAGTGTTTGATGTACGACCTGCTGCAAGAGTTTCTGCACGATTTGAAAACTGCAAAAATCAAATCTGATTCAGAGCAAAAAAGCATCATGAATTCCCTGAAATTTACTGAAACTTTACTTTTTAAAGCTAAAAAAGGAAGTGTTGGCAAAAAACCAAATGTAGCAAAATGCTAGATAAAAGTAACAAAACACTATTTCAAACCTAAAATTATCAGAAAATTAGCTAAATGTAGCTAGACTTTTGCTACTTGCTGATTTTAGCAATCCAGAAGCTAAAGCTAAAGTAGTAATTATCTAAAAATAATCTAATAGTAGCTAAAGTAGCAAAACGTTAGCTAAAAACTGAAAGTAACTAAACAGAGCAGGGATGCTGAAGCAGATTTCTAACAGAACAATATTTTTGAATAAATTGAAGAGATCTGGATGTAATTTCTGAATAAAGTTAAATGTTTAAAAAAGTATAAAACTTACTAAAACGAAGAGTTAAAGCACCCATCTCCTGAATGAGCCGAACGTTTGGGTATAAATGGCTAAAATAACACCAGGAGTAGTTTGAATGTAGAAAAAAATAACCAGACAATGGTCTGAATTTTCTTAGTGTTTTAAATAAATGGGACCTGAGTCGACATAAAGATGGTTTCAGTTCGTTCATATCTTATTATTGTTCATTAAATCATTTCATGTGTGCGTGCAGGTGCTGGCACTACGGTGTCTCAGTCTCTGCTGACTCCGCAGGGGATCCCAGTCGTTGGACTGTCCAACGGGAAGTCCTACTGCTTCAGCTCCTTGTTGGAGACGTGGTAAGAAACCAGCCGGGACAGAAACGGCAGCCGACAGGCTTTCTAAGCAAACAGCTCAGGATCTACACCCTGTTCTGTTCAGGACTCTGATAGCAGATAAAGGAGACTCTCTGGTCCAGTGCGCTGACTTTAGGGGCTGCCTGCCGTCCCAGGATGCACCTGTGTCCTCAGGACCACTTGCTGTCATGCAGGGACGGAACCTCAAGTATGGTTTGCATATTTTAACCTTTGCTGCTGCAGCTTCTTCCTCCGTTCAGCAGCACTCGGAACCTGTCTTCTCTCTGCAGCGCCGGTCGCTTGGCGTCCCGCCTCTCCTCCACGCCTCACCACCTGCAGCAGAGCGTGACGCTCGCCTTCCTGGAGAATCAGCTGGTATCTGCTCTGACCCTGCAGTCGTCGCAGGAGTATCGCTACTGGCTGCTCATCTATGCCCGTTTTCTTGTCAATGAAGGTACTGACCCGTCAGCTCGGTCCACAGACCGAAAGAAAACCCAAAACACTAAATCATTTCACAACTGACTCAAGGGTGTGGTTATGCTCCGTATATGGACGGAGAAATGTTATGAACTTTCTTAATGGTGGTTGTGGACATAATAAATACACACATTTATAAACGTCCATTCTGAGTTTTAACCTAAACACAAGCAGCAACTTTTAGACAAATCTAAAACATCTTCAGACGAGTGCCTCAAAGTTTTTAAAGCAGGTATTTATCGTATAAACTAGGAACTAAAAACTGGCATTCCCTAAACCAAGGGTGCCCACACTTTTTCAGCATGCGAGTTACTTTTGAAACGACCAAGTCAAAGTGATCTACGAGAACAACGTCTGGAAACATTAGTGTTTTTTCAATGTTTATTGGGGTAGTAAACAAAAAATGAGCGGGTTTTCATGAAAACGTTGTAGTTTCCATGTCAGTCGGGTTGCCAGATAAGAAATAATGAACCGTTGTTTTAAAATTATAGTATTTTGACCTTAACTGTCGTGTGTGCTGAGTAAAGATATTCCAAGATTAGGTGTGTGTGTTTGTTGAACATGTGCACAGAAAAGGAGGGCGGTATACCGTAGTCCCTCGCTACTTCGCGGTTCGTTTATCGCGGACCCACTATTGCGGTTTTTCAAAATAAGATTGGACATGACACACAATTGGCTGATTGATGGATGAGCCGCACGATCGGCATGTAAGTTTTATCTAAAATAAATTATTTAAAATTATTTAGCACCTTTGTGCAGCCCATAGTGCAGGATAAACTTCCTGCAGCAGCTGAACAGCTGATCATTGTGCAGAGTGGAGAAGTGGGCGTGGCCAAGAGCGATTGCAGGTGGCAAAGAGCCAT